CTTCGTTCTTTTTTCTTGTCGTTAGACGTGATATCTTTTCTTGAAAACGCGCGCATCTTTTTTGCGGAGCGCAGAATTATTGCACGGGTTTTCTTCTGGGTTTCTCCCCTCGCGAGTTCGACCTCGACCGCGACTCGCAAGTAACGCGCGTTCGCCACGGCGAGAAGAATCTTTATTCAAGCCGATGTATAATGACCGAGCGCGCGCTCCTTTCTGTTTCTATGCTCCGCGGCCTCGGGATCAGAATCGAACATCCCGTTTCGACACATCGGTTTCTTATATACGCGTCACAAACTTCTGCGCTTCTCACGCTCGATTATTGCGCAACATATTGCGCGCGCGGTCGAGTATTTGAGAGAGAGAGAGAGAGAGAGAGAGGATTCGATAAACTTTTGACACAATCACGTTTGCGCGCGCGTTCGCTTCGATTATTTATCTCGGAATAAGGAACGAAAAAATACTACTCTACTTTTCTTTATAAAATGTCTCTCAAAACATTTAAACATTTTTTCTTCACTCGTGAATTTATTTTATTTATTTTAGCTGTATGTGTGCTAACAAAGTAAAATTAATTTCTGACTTTCAAATGTCAAAACTAGAACTGAGAGAAACAAACTGCACGCGCTTCTTTTTTCATCTTTTTCTCTCTCTCTCTCTCTCTCTCGTCGTTGCTGTTACACGTTATAAACCACCGCACGAATTAAGAGCGGTTGGAAATATTCACAGAAGATCTCTCCGTTGAGAACGCGACATACAAGCACGTCTGGTTACGTAAGCCTAAATCTATCGGTCAATTTGCTAATGTCGACCTGGCCGCTCCATTTCGTAGCACCTAAATTGCGCGATGTTCGCGCGCGCGCGCGCGCGCACGCGCAACTCTGCCCACGACAATCGACGCTCGTGTTTCGCGAATAAAATTACGCCTCGACGACCAGTAGGTAGGTAGTAACGAAAGATGTCAAATACTCGTCGTCAGTATATTTTATCGCGCATTATATTATGTCGCTCGCGTCTGATATTTCATCGGTCCGGCATTTATCGATCGCTTCGACGCAAGCGGCGAATCGATATCGGCGATGCGATATAATGCGCACCCGAAATACACACGGACAAAACGAAGCAGAAACGAAGAAGAAGAATAAAAAGTAAAAGAAAGAAATAAATAAATAAATAAATAAATAAGTAAAAAAAAAAACAACAATCGAAATCCCGTCATTCTTCAATCTCGCGACTTCTGAAAACTCTTCATTCATCAAGGGAAAAAAAAAGCGCGCGTCGATATTTCGCTGCGATTAACTTAGAAACTGATCTGACAAGCGCGATCTCGCGACCGAGAGAGATCTTTCCGAGTAGCTTAAGAAACAATACCGAAACGCGCGCCACGATTGATTCAGATTGACGTCGACCGATACAAGCGACACATTGCCGGATTTCGCGACAGAAAATGTCACTGCGATATATGTGACATTTTTTTTTTTTTTTGAAATTCAATAAACCTCTCTTATTTCGAGAATGACGCAAATCAGATCTTGAAATATATAGTTTGAATGAGATGCAAAGTACTTCTCTTCTTCGTCAAGTCTCTCTCATCGAAATTTAGATAACGCCGCGCAATTTACGCGAGCTGTTTATTTGCCGAAAAATAAACGACGACTATCAATTAAAGAGACCCCTCTTGTGATATTTTCAAAAATCAGAAAAAAAATCAAATCGGAATCGCGCCTATCGCACGATAATTTTTTTTTTACGACTATTTCGAACTGTCTCCAAAAACAGGTGTTTTTTGTCAAAATTTATTAGTTTTATTTTTTGTCAAAATTTATTAGTTTCTCTTCAAATTGTCGCGACAATTCTCAACGTTGCACCGATACTCGTCGTGATCGAGTACGTGTTGTCTCGCAACATTCGACAGCTGGAATAAGAAAGGAAGAAAGAACCGGCTTTACAAAGGAAGGAAACGCACGCGAGAATCGTTACGCAAGTCTAAATTTGACGGCCATTTTGCCCGAGGCGCCACGCGCGCAACTCTTCTGTTTCTGCTTTCAATTTTTCTTTTTTTTTTTCTTTTTTTTTTTTACGATCTCTTTCGTCGCAATTACGTGCTCGCTCTTTCGATTGTCCGAGCTGTACCTAACGTGCACCGAGTCCAAGTACTGCGTCCACGTGCGCGATTCTAAGCGCACGCGCATCGCAAAAAACGCGTGCCGCTTGCATGCGATGCAATTTTCATATTTCTCGTCTTATTTTTCTTTTTCCATACAACGCGTCTCTTTTATTTTAAATTTTCTTAATTATTATTTTTTTTTTTAATAATATTCTCATTACAATCCTCTCGTCATAAATCATTTTCGTGTTATATTTCCATTTCTTCTAATTAAATTCTCTCCGGAACTTATATTACTTAATAATTAAAAATGTCTAAAATAAATTTCTTTTTCCTTCGCATTGCGAATTAAAAAAACTGATATAAAACACTTCTGCAAGGAGTGACAATATTTTCTGAACGAGAGAACCCGCGGAGGTGGAAGTCGTTGAAGGTCTTGGTTATACGTTCCGGGAAGAAAGATGGAGAACACACGCGGGAGAGAGAGAGAGAGAGAGAGAAAGAGAGAGAGAGAGAGAGAAAGTTACAACGATCGTTTATTCCGATCGGAAAGCCTTTGCGCAATAGGAATTCTTCGGCTCAAGTGCAGCGGGAAGTCCGCGCGACGGCGGAACAATAAAGAATAATTGTACACAGAGAAAAACGAAAAGGGAAAAGAGAGAAAAAGAGAGGGAAAAAGAGAGAGAAAGAGTGAGAGAGAGAGAGAGAGAGAGAGGGAAGGCAGTGGCGCGCGGAAAGAGGGAAGGATTTTGAAAGTATCCGCGTAAGCGGAGTTTTCAAGTCGCCACAATGGCGCAACCTGTTGCACGCCGGGCTTAGAAACTAAAGGTTTGAGCTTAAACGGTAACAGACGTACCCCACGGTTTTTCTCTTTTCCAGCGCGCTCACAAACCGTACGCTCGTTTTGTCGCACGCTGTTTGTGCAAAGTGCGAAAAATCTAGCACACACAGCGCGTTTGTTCCACTTCTCTCTCGTTGCTGCAACGTCGTTGCGCCGCTGCAACTCCGGCGCGAGTTAAGGATGTACAATATCAGCCAAAAGTGATATTTCAAATGTGAAAAAGAACCACTATTGCGAATTTCTCTCTGTCTCTCTTTCTCTCTCTCTCTCTCTCTTTTTCTCTCAGCTATATTTCTAAGCTTTCGTTTCCGATGTTTTGTATGTCCTACATGTCACACATGTACGAGCTTAAGAGCTCGTGGCATTTACGACAAACGACGTAATCCCGCCGATACGATGACAATCGCGCGCGCGCGCGCGCGTCTCGCATTAACCGCCTCGGTCACGCAATTCGTTTTTGCGGCGGGCGCGGGGCGGTTTTTTTTTTTTTTTTTTTTTTTTTCGCTGCTTCTCGGTATTTCATTGGCGAGATATTAAATATTGACTGGCATCGCGGCCGAATTTATGTGACGAAGCGTAACAGAATTCGTCCGTCTCGCCGGGCGCCGGCAGCCCGCGGCAAATTGACTGTGTTAATTTTTCACATGCATTTTCGCGGCCGCGTATTATTCCATGAAATTTCGCGGCGCGCAAATAATCCGAAAAGGGCACTCCACCTCCACCTCCTCCTCCGCATACTCCCGCGGACAGGAGGTTTTTGTTGTCGCGAAACATTAATACGAAAAAGCTCCATTACGCTCGGCGCGCAACCCGCTCGATTATTATTATTTCAAAAACGCGGGCGAGATATCGATTGCAAACGCCCCGCGACATTCGCGAATTAACAAGAGCGCGCGATGCGGGAGAGCGCGCGGGCACACAACTACAGCGCGCGCTGCGCGCCTAATGCCGTTACTCTATCGACGTGCCGGGATTTAACGACGTTTTAACAGTCTGTTATTATTTCGCATTACGGTGCTCAACACGCGTTACTGTCCGCCGTTAACGGCGCTAATTATCCGCCGGTCTCCTCGCTCGAATTTCTTCCTTTTGTTGAATAACGTAATTCTATCGCGATAATGTATGGCGTGCCGTTTTACTTTTTACTAACATAAAAATTAATCAATCAAAAATAAAAATGCCGAAAAATAATTATCTAAAGAAAAATTGTATTTTCTACTTAGAGATAAAATTATGTTGCGACATATTTATAATGTGATGAATTAAAATTATGACTTGACATAACAATAATTTTGAATTTTTATTATGTGCTGACATAATTTTATTTCATAGAATTATTATTATGTTAAAACAAAAACTTTAATTAATTGAATTATTATTATGTTGCGACAAAATAATAATTCCATGAATTAAAATCATGTCAAGACATAAAAAACATTTAAATTTATTTTATGTTCGGTCATAATTTTAATTCATTGAATTTTTAGTATGTCGCTACATAAAAACAATTTTGATTTTTTATTATGTCTCGTAAATCGTCGAATTAAAAGTACGTTTAGACATAAAAATAATTCTAAATTTCTATTATGTAGCATCATAATTTTAATTGATCTAATTAATATTTTGTTAAACCATAAAAATAACTTCAAATTTTTATTATGTCCTGACATACTTTTAATTCATCGAATTATTATTATGTTAAAACAAAAAATTAATGAATTGGATTATTATTATGTTGTAACGAAAATAATTCTATGAATTAAAGTTATGTCAAGACATAATAAAACTTTAAAATTATTTTTATGTTCAGTCATAATTTTAATTCATCGAATTATTATTATGTCACGAGAAAAAATAATTCCGAATTTTTATTATGTCTAGACATAAAAATAATTCCTAATTTTTATTATGTCCTGACATATTTTTAATTCATGGAATTATTATTATGTCGCAACATAAAAGTAATTGTTTTGTTTTTCTTATGTCATAACATAATTTTAATTCATCGATTTATTATTATGTTCTCACACATAATTTTAATTCATCGAATTTCTATTATGTCAGTACATAATTTTAATTCAAGTGTGCTAGAGAATTTAATTTTCTTATATTGGCAGCACTGCTGGCGTCAATTTCTACGGTGCACATTGCTTTCCCGCGTATTTACACAAAACCTTAAATATTTGTTCATCTGTGATATGTGTGTTATGTGTGATCTACGTATAATATATTATGGTTAAATAATAATGGTTAATATTTTGGTAATATAATTGGTTAATGTATAATTTTGTATTTATATTCAGGTGTATCTGATGAGTTGTTCGAAATAGAAAGAGATCACACGTTTGATGAAATAAAAGAAAATATTTTGGTAATATATAGTGGCAGCAAGTTTGGCGCCAACACACAGCCTGTGATATTATACACGTGGCGTTACCGCGTTTATACAAATACAATAATTTCGAATATTGTTATAGTAATACCGTCTTAGGTCTACTTAGTAATAAGTACATATTTCAAATTAAAATGTCCAATGAAAGGGAAATAACTGATTATACTTCTACAAATCCACATCAAATGACTATCAATATGCAATACGGTATAAATATAGCAAGAACTCTTAGAAGAATTCGTAAAATAATTGCTGATGCTGTAAGATCTTACGAGTATTCAAAGACCATAGCACATGGTCCTTTGTATATGGCCAAGTCAAATTTGAGGAGAATTTTTACCGAAATATCACAAAATACTTATAACAAACTTTTGGAAGCAATAGATGCTTTACTTTTAATTAAAAGTGAAGAACATCAACAAAGAAGGAACTATGTTGCATGCAGAAATTCAATAGGTCAGTATTTTTTGTTATCAAAATTTTATACGGTGTATTAGTATTGTAATAGGTAAAATAAATTAAAGTAAATTAGTTTTTTCTGAAAACTTTTATAAAATCAGGAAGAGGTCGTCCTGCTATTCAAATACATGAAAACCAATTGCAATTATTATACAACGAAGGGTTTACCGCTAGCAGTATGGCAAGAAATTTGGGTTGTTCGAGAAGTACTATTTACAAAAAATTGTATGAATTAAATATGCCTATGCGTGCAAGATATTCTCAAATACCTGACAATGAATTGAGAACAAAAATTATACAAATTCATCAAGAACATCCCAATGCTGGATATATGGTAATATTGAAAAGTGTCGGAAACTATACTTAAGAGAATAACAATTACAATAAATCAATACATTATAGATGATGCAATCATATTTAAAAGTAAAAGGTATTCGTATACCACGATATAGAGTGAGAGAAATTTTAAGCACAATAGATCCAGTTGGAACTGCAAGTAGATGGAGTCAGTCGATAAAAAGAAGGACTTATCTGGTTGCAACTCCAAACTCTTTATGGCACATGGATGCACATTTAAAATTGTCGAGGTAACATCGTTTTTTAATTACAATTACTAATTTAAAACTCTTCATATTACACGCAGAGATATTGGTTTATTAACGTATATTTAAATTTATAGATGGGGTTTCGTAATACATGGTTGCATTGATGGATATTCTAGAATGATAATATATTTAATATGTGAGACATCTATTCAAGCAGAACCTGTTGTCAAGTTCTTTATCGATGCAATAAGCAATTATGGTCTACCTTCACGAGTACGATCAGATCATGGATATGAAAACCTTCTTGTGGCTGTTTTAATGAATACAATCCGTGGCGTACACAGAGGAAGTCATATAACTGGCAAGTCTGTTCATAATCAAAGAATAGAAAGATTATGGGTAGATGTCTTTAAAGAAGTTTGCGATTCTATTTATACTGACTTATATTCTTTAGAAAATCAAGGTTTATTAGATATTGAAAATATTAAACACAGATTTTGCGTGCAATTTGTTTACAAACCTGTTATTAATAAAAAGTTATTGTCATTTTCATCTGCGTGGAATATTCATAGCTTAAGAACAGAAAATAATAAAACCCCACGGCAATTATGGCTGGAAGGAATATTAGCAAATTACAATACAGCTTCCACAGCAGTGCGTGATATTTTTGATATCAATGTGACTTTATATGACCGACTTACTGAATCTTTACAAGCGTTAGGAGTTGATCTTTCAGTTCCTATTATAGATAGCAATAACACAAATCTTCCTTCTTCGTCTTTTACCGCACTATTAGATTTAAATAATGAACAGAAATCATATTTGGAAAATATTGTTAATACTGCAGAAAGATCTAATATAGAAAAATATTTACTATGTACAAATTTTTTAACTTCTTAATATATATTGTATAAAAAAACTGTAAAAATATTAATCGGCTTGACCTTTGAAGTAGTGTCGCGTCTTTTACGAATTTGTTCACAAAATGTGTCCAAAACAATAAATATTTAAATAAATTTTTTCAGATGAGTAACAACTAATAAAGAATAAGACCTTATACAGCTACGTCGGATGTACGCAAAATATATATATATATATGTATATGTATATATATTTTATATATATACAGAGTGTCCGGTAATAGCAGTACAATCTTTTGTAGACAAGTAAAGGAGGTCAAAGTCTTTCTGCAATAATTGACAAAGATGATAATTAACAAAGATTCGTGAATGAGCGTGCATTTACGTGCAAACATGACAGCTCAGTGTTTCGCGCGCTCACGTTATTACTCCCATGACAACGGAATGGGAAAAGCTCTCTCTCTCTCTCTAATACAACAACATATAATATAATACATAATAATCTAGCTCTTCCCATTATAATTAGCTCTTCTCATTTTGTTGTCATGGGAGTGACAGTTGTGAGCGTGTGAAACGCTGGACTGTCTTACGCACGTGAATGCACGCTTATTTGCGAATCATTATTAATTAACATCTCTTTAATTATTGCAAAGTTTGCAAAATAATAAAGAACGTTTCGACTCAGTATGATTTCCTTTATCTATCTACGAAAAATTGTACGGCAATTACCGGACATCTTATATAATTCGCACATACATTCGGCGTTAAGCTCTATAAGGTCTATTCTGTATTATTATTTATTAGTTGTTTGTCCGAAACAAATTCACAAAAAGCACGATACTAATCTAGCATTCGGTATAGTGTATCACCTGAAAATCATGCTGATTTCTGGAATAATTGTGATTTCGATGTTCTTTTAAATATGCAAACACCTACTGCGACAAAAGTCATAAATTGTTTAGTGACTGACCTTTACTTAACAAATGAAGAAACTGATGTATTGCATTATTTTACTATGTACATTCAATGTCTTGACAAAGATAAGCTGGCAAATTTAGTATTTTTAATTACTGGATTTTTTCTTATGCCTACCAATATTATTGTACAATTTAATGACACAGTAGGTTTAAGCCAAAGATCAATATTTATTACATTTACCGATACTATAATCTTACCGAAAACGTATGCACATTATATGACTTGAATATGTGTTTAAATATGGAAGAAGTCAAGAAATATACGAGCTATTAATCAATTAATACCAAAATATCATTTACTTTTTACTTATATATATAGATTTAAATCGGAATACTATATCCTGTTAAGAATGAATAGATTAATACTTATTTATTTGGTTAGTGGTCTTGACACAGTTCTAGTGACAGTTTTCAATTACAGTTTTACATGATTAATAAACATAACATATTAAGATATGTACGTAATACTCTCTCTCTCTCTCTCTCTCTCTCTTTTAATTTAAAACGATACAATTAAAGTGTGATGAAACTTTTTGGTTCTTTATTGCAATTTCTTGTGCAGTTTATTTTCTTCTTTGAGTAATTATATAATAATGATATGCAATATTCTACGACAGCTGATAGAGCGTTAATTTTACATTTAAACTTTCAAGAAATTACATTTTAATTTTTACCTAATGTTGTATAAAAGCGTTTAAATAAAAGAGTTATAGTATTTATAATGTCTTGGTCTGCGTAAAAATTGCACATGTATTTTATGTAAAATGAAGATTATACTTAATATTCAATTATTTGATAATTTACTTACAAGCTATATCACTGATGTTAAATATAGACGTCATTTTCAACAACTATTATACATATTATCCCCGCCGGATTTAATTATACACAATCGAGTTATACACAAAAATATTCTTACCACTATGTATTAAGCAATAGACCAACTATCACAATGAATTTCAAAAGTACATGCTTAGGTGCGAGCGCACAAAGGAACGCTTATTTTGTGCGCTCTTTCACATAAAAAAAAGAGAAAAAATATTAACAGTAGAATGTTGTCCTGTTTAGAAGTTATACACTTATGTGTCAAATAAATCAAGAAGAACGAGATTTTTCATCCTTGGTGAAAGCTACTGGAAGAATATTCAGGAGAAATAACATTATATCTAATTAAAACCTTAAATATTTGTTTAATAATATGATGTGTATGATCTATCTACGTACAATCTATTTTCTAAGCAAAAGTGTTTGATGACACGGAAATAGCTAATCGTCTGTTAAAAATAGTAGCTACTGCGTCAAACAAATCAACACAAGAAGAACGAGACTTTTTATTTTTAATGACAGCTACTCGAGGAAAGTTTAGAAAAACTGATATATCTAGTCCAAATAGAAGAGGTAAGAGAAAGAAGACATTTAACAAGAAAGTAGTTTTAATGAAATTAGCACACGCCGATTTTTTCCCATCCAATGTCGAATTACAATTTTTGAAACAGAGAGGACTAGGTTTATGTTTATTTTATGTATTAAATGTTTAAGTAAACAGATTTATTTATTTGCAAACAAGCCTGAATTGGTTAATGTATCTATATTTTGTGTTTATATTCAGGTGTATCTGATGAGTTGCTCGAAATAGAAAGAGATCGCACGTTTGATGAAATAAAAGAAGATATCATTTTACTCTTACGTTCTTCTATTCAAAACTTATTACGAATACGTGGCTTTAGACTGGGAAGAATAGACAAACCGAATAATCTCATTCTTCTTGGAGATATTCAAAATGGAACTGATTTAGAAAATCAATTGAAGCAAAGCAACCTTATCGTACTTCCTTTGAACGATTTTCCTCTTATTACAGAACCAAATACTTTTCCTTCTGAAACAGCAAGAAATAGTTCAAGGTTGTCTTTAACTTTGAGAAACAGTGATTCTGATAATACTAGATTAAAACAAATTCTATCAAGCACTATGTCACCACAATCTCCAGAAACAAGTGGTCTGCTAAGAAGATCAAAAAGAACACGGTTTGAAATAATTGAAGAAGAAGAAGAAAAAAATTTTGATAAAAATAAAGATGATCAATTGTGCAATTTAAGATTCTATTATTTGATAACATGGTGAACGTATAAAAAAGTGATTATAAAGACTAGGAAAAATTAGTAATTCTTATTTTGAATTTGACTGTAATTTTTGCTTAAAAATAATATTAATGATTGAATTTCAGATGTCAAAAAGGATACTATTGCAGAGAAATGTTTGATATTTTGATACTTTCCAGAAGATGCAGAAGAAATCACTAATGAAATAAATAAAAGTAACTGTCTTCACAATTTGATAAATTTATATAAGGATGAACATGTGTTAACAAGAAGTTGCGAGTCACTTTTATTGGAGAAATAAGTCTTGATGGGAATAGTCTTACTAAAGAACTGTTTAATCTCTCCTTTGTTTAATATGTTTTTCTAACCTCATCTTTAAATTTGATTATAACTTAATAAACTAAATAGTTGATATAAACGGCGTGTAATACAAAACATTTTAAATGAATAAATGTAATTTAAAAAATATTTACCTTGACAGGTTTAAACGTGCATTTATACCATAAAGAGATTAGAGTTGTAACTATATAAGTCTTCTTTTAATATCTCTTTTTTTGAATCTAAAATTCAATAAATAAAAACCAATGTAATTAAATTTATTTTAGCTAGTAAAATAATAATACACCGTAAAATTAAATAAATTGTGATAATAAGAAATAATGACCTACTGGCATATATATGCAACATAGGTCTTTCTTTACTGATGTTCTTCACTTTTAATTAAGAATAAAACATCAATTATCTGTTTCCAAAAGTTTGTTATAAGTATCATGTGATAGTTTAGTAAAAATTTTTCAAATCTGACTTGCCTATATACAAAGGACTATGTGCTTTATATATAGACGCGGTAAAGCCACGTGTAGTATGCACGGTAATATAGTACCACACGATACCGCGGTACGCATAATCCATGTTAACAAAAAACAGACAACGACACGATAGTAATATTACAACTGTCTCTTATTTTTGACAATTAAAATACAAAATGTAAGACTGATTTCTTCTATGGAAAGTTATTTTATTCTAACCAAATCGAAAATTTGAACTAATGGTTTTTCTGTTTGAAATCTCTTTATATCTACTTTATACTGTGCGTACAGTCGGCGTCAATGAATCGTTTCGTAGACCTGGGGGGCTAGGGGTAAGAGAGACGGTATTCTCTAGCAGTAAGTACTTCCAACGGGCGCCGTACTAACTAACTGTAGCAGATCTCGTTGAATTGACCAATTACAGTATTTACTGCTAGGGAGTACCGTCCCTCTTACCCCTAGCTCCCCGCGTCCACGAAACGATTCATTGACGCCGACTGTACATCTACAGTATGACGTATCCTTTGCCTTTACTTTTATGAGTCTTCATTCTCTCGCTATCTGAAAAAATAAAGAGTTTTAATCTTGTTTTATGATCTTTTTTGCAAAGTGTAAATATCACGAAATATACCTTAATGGTTTGAAAGCTCTCCAAATTCTTCTCGTTTACAATCAACGTTTTCGTCTCAGTAAAGCTGTAGCGTCTATAGTTACCGTGATAGAACTAACATCTCTGATTCTTGATCTTATAGTGTATTCTAACAGCGCTTTCATTACCTAAACGGTGTCCTGAATAGATAAGGTCCGTCAATTTTTGTGCGTTTAGCTATTTTACTATCGGTTCAAGCAACGTGATTTCCTGTCGGGCAATGTACACGAATAGCGCGGTTGTCTATATGTTTTCCGAGTCGTACTTGTAAGATAAGCGCGGCATCAGAAAAGGATGATTATCTGATTATCGTACTTTTGCGTGGGAAATGGCACATTCTTTCTGCCCCAGTATGTCAAACCGCCCTCTTTTCTTTCTTGTTTCTTTAGAATGGTGAGACTTCGCTCGGCATCCAAAGATTTTGTTACAAACAGCGCGTAAGTTACTATTGCTATATCATAAAGCTTCTTCTTTCTTTGTTCTTCTTACAATTTCAGGTTTTTCTTGAGCAACCTGACTCATGCCACCGGATAAATTTTTGACACTCTCTAGTGTGATGAGAACATGTGCAGTAAGACTGATGTTTCGACGAACGATTTCATTGTAGATCAAGAAACTATTCATTTTTCGATTCGGCAACAAAGTCACTTCGTAGAACAACCTTTCCAGCGTCTGGTGTTTGAATATCCAGGAAACTGTCTGCTCGATCACTTCAAAATCAATATACAGAATATACAGATACTTTTCCCATTCGTAGAAAGTAGCCTACTGGAAGATCCGTGCGCGAAACGCTGTAAGACAGACACTCGGCAGTGACTGATTCCAATATAAAATTCCAGCATAAAAGAACTCGAAAGATCCGTCAGGATTCATGAACGATAGCTGTCGCTGATAATCAAAGTTCAGTAAGTGTAGTAAAAGCTCTCCTCCTGCGTACAATTACGCTAATTGATCAGACGCATATACATAGTGGTATATATATTGGCGGCAAAGCTAAACATATTTTGCTCGACGCAATCCATAGGCAAATTCATAAGGCTTGTCACGTTCACTGGCATTGTAGACAAAAGATCAGCCTCACTACGTTACCAACCACGCTGATTGGTGCTTTGTTAGATTCGAATACATAGTAGCGATTCTAGTAAAGTATACTCGGTGTCTCAATGTTTACGTGCATATATTGGAACACATAAGCGCGATTACTGAGATACAGTAGAATAGAATGATGTCGATATTGCGGTACCATCGATTTCGCCATGCAGAATGCGAGTCACTGAATCCTTGCCGCTTGAGCCGTCGTGTA